ATCTCTGTTGAATTCAAAGGAGCCTGGTCTACAGAGTGAGTTCCACAACAGCCAGGGCTATACAGCAAAACCCTGTCTCAAAAAAACAAAATGAAACAAACAAGCAAAAAAGAAAGGAGGGAGAAGGGAAGAAGGGGGAACAAGAGAAGGAAAAGGGAAGGAAAGAATGAACAAGAAAATAAAAGTGAAGGGACTAGCATCCATGGGCATGGAGTTCTGAGCACTATGCCCTAAACGCGAAGGGACATGGCCACTCACACATGTACAGTCCTTCCACGAAGAGCCTTGCTATGTGGCAGATTATCAGTTACTTGCATAGGGGAAAATGACAAATTTGCCACATCATACTTATTGTGGGCACGCTTAGGGACCATCCAGAGGAATGGGGGGCCAGTAAGCAGACTTTGGTAAAGACTGGCCACTAGAAGAATAAGTGAATTACATGCATTGGAGACAGCTGAAGGAGTGGGAGACCTGTTTCTATTTGCCTTCAAATGGTTTTAATCCGTGCAATCCCACCTGGGGCCGCTCACCACCGACAGCTGGGACTGCTATTTTCATGTTGAAACTCAGCTGCTCCTATGGCAGTCCTGATGCAACATTTCAGCATGTGGAGAAGCGTGACTCATGACACACTCCAAAGACGAAACCGCTTCCATAGTCTGTTCAATTAGCGCTCAGCTTCCGGATCTACTGAGGCTCCAGACCCAGGTGCACAATTCAGACTGCTTGCAATCTGAGAAGCAGGGAATTTCAGCAAGACACTTGGCAAAAAGTACAGTGCTGGAGCGGGATGGACAAACGCAGGAGATCTAAAAATCTAATTGCCAAGCGTCCTTTCATCTACAAGGGCCTATTGATTGGCTAGCCCCGACCCTCCCGCCAATAAGCACAGACTAAAATGTCTGCAACTTCTGGTTTTCTCTGAGGCTGGAATTTCCTCCAGGAGAGGAGGAGGGAATTTGAGGTATAAAAACCACTTTCAAGATGCAGTTGCTAGGAGTGATCCTGGGAGTGGAAGACGGCAAGCTCCATCAATCCGCTCGCTCGTACTATTTAAGCACAAACCAACCAGACAGACTTTTGCACTAAATAATTGTGGCTTTATTTCTCTTTCACAAAATACAAAGGTTTGCACCACGTTATAGTAGTGTTTTAACACGAGAAAATCCCGAGGTGTTCGCTGGGAGAGGGGAGGGCTCTACCATGTTGACTGGTGTCATTCGGAATAGTAAAGGAAACTGTCGTGAGGACGGATGCCGACCAGGTAGAACATGCAGGTTATTGCTTAGAACTTGCATAAACTGTAAAGTGGCACACATACAAAGAATACAAACATTTCAAAATTTTAATGAAAGTTCTGAAAAGATACTTTCTATCCCTTCAAACAAAGCACAACCAGAATCAAAGAACGCCAACTGTATTTCACTTACTGATGTGTCTTAGTAATACTGATTTATAAATTAACTGGTCTTATGTTTTATAAATAAAACTCTTCAATCTTATGGAAATAAGTTATTAAGCATATGTTGAGAGGCTTCCAAAACTTTATGACAAGATTATATATTATAGTATCGGAGAAAAATTGTACATATCGCTATAGTTAGTGCAGGCACCCCAGTTTTAAAGTGGCCTTTGCAAATAAGATCTATGTTGAAATGTTATTACAAATTCAATAATTGAAAAATTTCACAACTTATCCTACTTGTAGGAATATCATCTACACAAAAATTCCTTAAGTAAAAAGCAGACAATCCTAGAGAAACCAAACAGGAAACAAAAATACAGAACACGCCTTATTTACAGCTATGTCTCAGCTATGTCTTTAGGATCAGTTAGCCAAAAGAGCAAATGATTGTAACATACATTAATTACAGAATTACATAAAAATGCAAAGAGAAAAATTTGAGATGCTGTCTAACAAGTTTCCAGCCAGAGGTATAGAGCTAAGACATTATGAGATTTAGAAATCATTTTCATTGCGCTCGGTCTTGTGTGTAGGGAATGACACCAAGGCTGCTGTGCACAGTGGGTAAATGTAAACGTTTCCAACGCACACAGTTCATCTCGCGAAGCTGCCCACTATGGAAGACACACCAAGTACGACATGGACTTGAGTCCCTGGGGTTGAACTCCAAGACACACTAACTCAGCAGCTGGTAGTTTGCTTGTAAGTAAACACGACCACAGAAGTCTTTTCTATTGAAGAGCAAGACTAAAACAATTTGCCACAAGCCAGACCCTGCCCTCATCAAAACAGCTCCATTTTACACCCTCAATACTGCCATGGAGTCTGTAAAGAACATTTAATAGGTCATTAACACGCCTACAATAAATCCCCAGCTGAAACGCTTTATAAAACTCTATTGCTAAGTTTAAGAGAGAGCTTACAGATGTTTCCTAACAAAACCATCATTACCTTTGTTCTATGTTGTAAACAGGTATTATTACATGCTTACTGGCTTCCTTCAGCCTATTAATAAATTGTGGTTTGTCAGATCTTTATTTAAACGTCCTACAATGCTTGTTTTCGTGAGAGAACCTACTTGTAAACTTTGAAACTTGCCACGGAGATTGAGAAGCACACAGATGACTGGGCACGTCTCAGAAGAGAGGTCCCAGCACATGGAGGGGGGATAATGAAGTCTGTGGGGCACTAGAGAGGAGATGGGCAACCAGGTGAGCCTGGACAGAAAACTCTCAGTAGAGGAAGGAAATACCGTCTTTGAGAGGAAGAGCAGTCTCGCTGTCTCCTCCCACACCAGGTCCTACGGGCTTTCCTCATTTCTGCATACATTGAGAGTTTTTGCATCGTGGCTGGCTTTCAGTAGCTTTAGTGTCAGTGAGCTGTAGTTAAGGCCAGGAGGTGTGTGTGTGCGCATTCGGGAAGATTCTCACCTTTGTGGTGACTCACACCTGCTGGAAAGCACAGTGCCATTTTTCTGACAAAAGTAAAATGTTTGCTTTTGAGGAAATCTCAAACGCAAAAATGCATAAGCTTCTATGAATCATTACTGATGCCCATAACTATGTGGGCTTTTTAGCTGCCCAAGCCACTGAAGTACTTAAAGTCAGGCAATGCAAACAAACCAATGCTTGAGATGCCTATTTACATACTTGCAGCAACGTAGGAACAAACTTATTTATCCAGGTATGTTAATAGAGGCTTGTGGGACATGTAGATTTTTCTTAAAACTGAAAGGAAAGAAACACGCATTTTGATGGTACTTTTCCCTGGGCCTCCATGAAAAATGACATTTCCAGATGTCAAAGAAATGTCACCAGCAGTCAATGAATCCTCAAGAAGAACTTGTCTCCAAATGCCCAAGGTCTCAAGAGGAAGCAATTAAAAAAATCTGACACTTGAACAAAAGCTGAGTTAAACAAATTATTAAAATTAATGAAAGAGCTTCATTCAAAATACCTATAGACTAAGTAATTTCCAACCAGACCTCTATGGACCCAGTTTATTCATAATACAGCAAACCGGCTCCCAGAGATGGTAACGATCTACTGTTATTCCTCTTGATTCCTAACTGGCCCATGAGATAACAAAAAAAGCAGTTAAAATTTAAAAAGTCAACCTACCATAGAATAATTTGAGTTAATTTCCTTGCATGCATATGTAACTCATTTTTAATTTTAAGTAAATGCAAACAGTCCTCTAAGTGATTTTAGACACAAGAGTGCAAATTCTATAAACCCAAGCTTAAAAATTTTAGTCTCACACACAAAATATTGAATGTAGGATCCACGATCTTGCATGCTATTTTTGCTCTTTTTTTTTAAGTTTCATGAGAACTTATTTTCTAGAGTACTACACATTCAGATTGTCACTAATCTTTTCTAGAAAAATAGAATTGCTTAAAAATGTATACCAATTTGCTTTTATTTTCTATAAAGATTTTTTTTAAGAGTTGTTAAATATCAGAATGCCTAATGGACTCGTTTAAATCAATCCACGTAGCCAAAATACTTAATATCTAAAATATCTAGCAAAAATTTGTCATTCAATAAATGAAAATTTCATTGTTTTAGTAAATATTATGTTTTATCTTTATTTGGATTTTCGGTTAATAAATATAACCACAGCAAAAACACAGCCCCATCCGGAGGCTGGCTTGCACTATAGTGGCAGTTAACGGGGCATTCCCATTGCACTTACTCCACGAGAGAACGTGGAGAACTGACTTTTGGGTGCTGCAGCTAATAAGGGCTGCTGACAAAGGGAATGGCAAATCTTAACATTTGATATTCCGAATATACTTTTAAAAGTAACACCAATGACCTTTTAAGCAGGAAACAATTATTGCTTACATGGAGATTCTTAACTGTATGCTGTCATCGTTTTGATGGTGAGTTTGAAATCTGTGTTCAGAACTGCAGCAATATTCAAAGTGTCAAAAACACTTATCTCAAGATTTATTCCTTTTTGGTGAATTTCTAAAACAGTTTTATAATATAAATGTCTTCTTTCCTTAAGAAAAAAATAGCCCACTTTTCTTGTAAAAGAGCCGAGAACAATGTAAAATCATTTGCGTTCCTATACCTTCACCCTTTAGACAACCAATACTCTTGAGTGCCTCTGGTGTAGAATAAACAAGCCATTACCAATGTAACATTAGCTGCTTTAAAGAAGTCCTGTTACATTACTTTATCTTTCAAAAGTAAACGGACCTGATTTTAACATTTGATTGGCTGAATTTTTAATTCCCATCTTTAAACATACTAGACCTTGCCAGACTCTCTCTGTTCCAGACAATTAGACGGAACTACATTACAGTAACCATTCTGATTACATCACTCTCCTTTCACCATCATAAGATGAATAACGAAAACGAGTTGAACGTTCCCCTTCAATCTGAGACTCTAGATGGATTAGATCTTTTGGTTTAGGTTCAGTTAAATTCAAGTATTCACCACTAATTGAATTAAGTCTCTTTTCTTCTTAAGAACAATCATTAAAGTCAAGTACTTCAGAAAAAAATAAATAAAGGCAATAATAGCTAAATATATAATTCTCTATTTGGATTGCAAGAACCAAAGTGAAAGTAAACACATACACACACTTTCTTCACATAGAGTGACAGTTTTGACCATCAGAATACTTGGGTTAAATCACCTTCTTCCTTCCTGCTCCAGAAAAATGCAAAGCGAAGATGGACTAAGCAAGCCTGAGAAAGTCTACGGATAAACCCAAACACTGACCTGTCTGTAGCGCCGCCGTCAGTCTAACCAATCAACACAAGGCCGATTTCTGGGGTATGACAAATGCATTCTGGGAAAGACTGGTATTCTGGCGTCAGGCTTTAAACTCAGGGAAGATTTTGCAAGAAGAGTATCTTTTTTTCATGGAAAAAGTACAAGGAAACAGAGGGGAAGGCAGTAGTACAGAAGCCATGTTCCCAGCATGCACTTTTAGAAGACATTCATCCCCAAGGTCCACACAATGGGCTTAAGCCTTGCCTGACATACAGTTTTTAAAACTGTTGGATGAAACACTAAAGACAGAAATAAAGCGGCATCTGAAATCTTAAAATGCAGGAATATGTTCAAACATGATATTGTCAAAGAGTGAAATACTCCTTCATAATAGATGACCACATTCCCAAATGAAACTATGTCATTTCTGATGGCCTGGAAAAGGACATGTTAGCAACTTAGAAATCAGACCCTACGCAGGCATTGGCATTAGAAAAGAACACAGCACAACAAACCGAGCTGCTTACGGACTTAAAAGCAGTTCTCGCTCCTTCAGCGAAGCGGGTCACCCCCATAGTCATTTCTCTGCAGAGAACAATCCCCACGCACACCGCGAGTTCAGAAAAGGTGCTCCACTCCACTTACAAATTCTACCGAAACCTGTCGATGTCTAGCCATGCTTAAGAGGCAGAAGGAAAGAAGATATCTTGGGAGTGAAAACTAAATTTTATTTTCCTTTTCTAAAGATGAAAGAGAGAGAAGAAGACACGGAAACCCTGAATAACAAACAGCCGTAAGGAAGAGAGCAGCGGGAGCATGCCAGGAACTCATCTATCAGTAGACATGACGCGGGGAGGAATGAACATGGCTTTGGAAACACGGGTGTTTGATGAAGCACGCCTTTAATCAAGTTTTCCGTTCTGAAGGCTACTCTTGGCTTCTTGTCTGATGAGAGAGATGACCTTGATGCATCCTTTTGTAATTTTGATCATCCACATGACATTCATCACATCCAAAATAAGACAGCTAGTGATCCAGGTACACTGGACCACAAATCCGAGCCTCATGTAGGCTTCTGTTCCGTACACGGAGTACATGAAGAAATACAAAGGAGGTATCGCGAGGATCCGCACTACGAAAAAGACCACTGTCATGAGAACTCCATTGATGACATTGGCTTTGGAAAACTTGGGGTACTTTAGGGCTTCAAAGAACCACCTGGAAAAAAAAAGTGAAAGAAACATCTCACTCGGTCTGTGGCTTGGGAATCTACCACCTCACTCTCACGTTTCTGGCTATAAAAGAATCCACGGGGCATCAAACAGCTTCAGAGAGGGGCTGGGGAGATGGCTCTGTGGATAAAGCGTTTTTGGTGCAATCGTGGGGACTTGAGTTCTGTATCTTGGAAAAAAAGGTTTCCACAGATTAAAATGAAACCACACAGCTTCAAAGGGATAATATTGGTAACCTACCTCTGGTTCACGAAGGGGCTGGAAAGCTCGGCAAGCAGGCGGAAGTTGGCAATGTACGCTAGCATTCCATCTTTCTGGATAAGAGACAGAAACGGTGTCAGGGATTCATCAAAAAATACAAATATTCTAGGGGCTGGAGAGATGGCTCAGCGGTTAAGAGCATTGCCTGCTCTTCCAAAGGTCCTGAGTTCAATTCCCAGCAACCACATGGTGGCTCACAACCATCTGAAATGAGGTCTGGTGCCCTCTTCTGGCCTTCAGGCATACACACAGGAAGAATATTGTATACATAATAAATAAATAAATAAATAAATATTAAAAAAAAATACAAATATTCTAGAAAGAGCTAGTCACTCTGGTGTACAATCCATCGCTACAAAAACAGACCAGGTGTCCACCTTTTATCATTAATTTTCTTCTTTTTTAAAAAACTAGTTTTTAGGTTTTTAGGTGTGTGAATGTGGGCACCACATGCATGCCTGGGAGTCTGGGAGACCAGAAGAAGGTCCCCTAGATCACAGTAACAGTTGTGAGCCATCGTATGGGTGCTGGGAACCAAACCCAGGTCCTCTGGAAGTGCAGCAAGTGCTCTTAACATCTCTCCAGCCTCCTGATTTTCTTCTTCCGACTTTAGAAACATGCTTGGAACTCTACAGGTGATAAAAGATGGTCCATCACACACTTAAGCCCACTCAGCACTTTCTGTTCACCCAGGAAAGCAGAAATCAAGCAACCGACTCACAGTGAACTGCCGCTCTCTACCACCAACCGCGACAGCATCCTCAGACCACTTCAGGAAAATGATCACATTGGAAGGGGGAATTTTGAAAGTTAAAGAGTTTTATAGTAAACACTATGGGCATTCCTTTAATATCCATTGTGAAGTAGAAGTGCTTAAACATCTCAAAAGTGTAATTATCCCATTTTGTGATAATTCCATCTGTAAGCAAGTATATGTTTGCTAAACACAACAATGCTAGATCTAGAAATATATACCTGTCAACTAGAAGATCCTATAGCTAAAACACACACACACAAGCCTGGGATCTTTCAAAATTGAAACAATACTTAGCACATTCTGCCAATGTAATAAAAGGAAAAATACAGCAGAATATAACAAACATTAGAAATAAAATTCTTAAAATTGTATTTAATGTACTTTTAATATTGCTATGAGGTGAACTGGTGAGATGGCTCAGTTTGCTGCCTGGATCACACGTGGTGGAAGGAAAATTGTCCTGTCACTTCCATGCATGAGTCCCCCCCCCCCCCCGAAACACACACACACACACAGACACATACACACAGATTTTACAACTGCCACAAGGCAAATGGGGTCACTCCAGCATGTCTAATCCTATCAGAACTGTGATAAATCGGAGAAACGTCTGCCCATTCCCAACCCTCAGATGTACACAAAACTTGGTAAACTACCTTCTGATCAGGTATTCCATGATCAATTAAAATAACATGAAGCATTATTTTGGGGGTTTGGCCATAGAATTAGCTTTCCTGGAGCTATTTTCAAGTTCATTGTCTTTCGTGACACTGGAATGTGTGAGTAAGAAGGGAGGAGGGATGCCTAATGATCAAACCAGTGACCCAGGACACTGCCACCTAAACAGAGTGTGTCAGATGTCAGGATGTGTGAGTTCACTGATTCCACACAGACATGGCGACGTTAACAGTGCCCGTTAGTACTAACAACAGTAACTCAATAAAGATTTTTAATGACAGTACTTCTACAACCATTCTTACTGTCCCTTTACCCCTGCTGAACAGTTAAACGAGCTATATGGTATGTTTTTAGAATACATAACAAATTTCAATAATGATATAAACAAAATAAAATGAATAGAACCAGAATGAGTTTAAAAATAACATTTTTTTCCCTGTCTATGAACAGGATATTTCTTTTCTGTTTCCTTTTTCAGTAACACTTCTTCCTTTCCAGTGACTACCTGCAGCCCAAGGGGAAGTTTTTTAATGCACTGTGTAAAACTACTACAATGGGGGCTGGAGAGATGGCTCAGTGGTTAAGAGCACTGTCTGCTCTTCCAGAGGTCCTCAGTTCAATTCCCAGCAACCACATGGTAGCTCACAACCATCATGTAATGAGATCTGGCACCCTCCTCTGGCGTGTGGGCATACATAAAGGCAGAATGTTGTATACGTAATAAGTAAATAAATCTTAAAAAAAAACTACTACAATGAAGCATGAGGTTCGCTTTGACTTGCATTTCAGCTCCTCAGCCAACCATGTGTCAGTTTCTACCGTCAATCCATTCTGATAATAAGCCCAAGTTACACGATCTCCCAACAAAGATGCTAGGATCTAGAATGCGTGTTGGTGGTATTTATTTATTTTGGTTTTTGGGGTCAGGGTGTCTCTGTGTAACAGCCCTAGCTGTCCTGGAACTAGCTAGCTCTGTAGACCAGGCTGGCCTAGAACTCACTGGGATCCACCTGCTTCTGCATCCTAAGTGCTAGGATTAAAGGTGTGTGCCACCTCCGCCTGGCTTAGAATGTGTTTTTATTGCAATGGCAGGGTTTTAGAACTATAAAAATTAAGTTTCCTGTTCCCCAGGAACATCTAGTCACTCTGTTTCCAGTCAGTCCAGTTCCTTTATAGGTAGGAGGTCATCAGCTACACTCCATATCTCTGAATGGCCATGTGTTTTCATACTTAAAAGTACCCTGGACTCCCTGATAAGCTATGACAGATTACTGCTTGTTATGGCACCATTATCTGGTAAATTTTGTTGTTGTTTCAGAACAGTGCCATGTACGGCTTATGCTGACTTTGAACTCACTAGGGAACCAAAGAGGACTCTGCACTCCTAATCCTCCTGCCTCCACCATGCCTGACATGAAGTGCTGCTGTGGGCAAAACCCAGAGCTCTCTGCACACCAGGCGAGCACTTAACTACTGAGCTACAAGTCCATGCCCTAATTTATATTAAGTTTTGATTACCTTGCTTCCAAAAGCTGAGTGACTGTATGATTCTTTTTCCCCAACCAACACTCAAACAACTCAAATGAAGATGGTTTCCTCCTGTGACCTTCTCAACAATCATAGTGCCCTGAGAGACTGTCCATAAACATTTGCTTTACTGTTCTTATTTTTCTACATTTTCATCCTCAACTTATTTAAAAATCAAAGCAAGCCTTTTTTTGGTTTTGGTCCCAGTTCAGAAACGATGAGTTTGTAGCAGCTGGCTTTTCAGCATCTTTGTGGCCAGCAAAATCATGGCTGCCATGTAGGCATGCATTATCTTCAGGGGTTGGTTACAAGTTGTTATGGATGACAGTCAGGAAAAAAACTAAACAAAGGAGATGAGATTCATAGTTCTTATTTTGTTTTTTGTTGTTGTTGTTGTTGTTTTTTTTTCGAGACAGGGTTTCTCTGTGGTTTTGGTATAGTTCTTATTTTGTAAAGATAAAAAGGGGAAGTGATGTGGAATAATGCTCTTGTACCCAGTAGAGATTCGTCACTTTTATTGGCTTAATAAAACACTGATTGGCCAGTATCCAGGCAGGAAGTATAGGTAGGGCAACCAGACTAGGAGAATTATTGTAAGAGAAAAGGCTCAGTCTGCAGTGGCCAGACAGATACAGAGGAAGCAAGATGTCTCACTGATAAAAAGGTACCAAGCCATGTGGTTAACATGGACAAGAATTATGGGTTAATTTAAGTTTGTAAGAGTTAGTCAAAAATAAGACTGAGCTAATAGGCCAACCAGTTTATAGTTAATATAAGCTTCTGCCTGTTTTGTTGGGGCTGAATAGCTGTGGGGCCAGGCAGGACAGAAACTTCTATTTATAGACAAACACAAGCTGAGCAACACCGTTAACAATGTACCACAAACTCTTATTTAGTTTTCCAGGTCTAACTCTGTTCTTCAAAAAGTACCCAAAAGCAGGGGTTGGAGGTTGGGCATGTTTTGTTGCCTTGACTCAATTCATCATGGGACTATTGAAGAGCCTGAACACTGTTCCCATCTGACAGAATCAGCTCCATGTTGCAAAAGGTCAAAACATCTTTTCAGCTCTACAATCCTCCTCTCTGCACCCATTTTGTCAAGAGGAAATCTGAGTTACAGTCTTGGAATTAGGAAATGCAAGTTTACTCAATCTCATGTAGCAATCAAGAGGAAAATCCGATGTGTGTGTTCATATGGTATCGTGCAAGCTAACTCAAAGCCTGTCACTTTCAACTGAGCATCAACACCTTCCTGGAAGATGAAGAAGGCACACCTTGATTTAGGTGTAGCTGCCCACTGCATCCCAGACTTGTCCTTCTATGCCTTTATATCTCTTCAACTGAAAGTGTATATTAGGGGGCTGGAGAGATGGCTCAGTGGTTAAGAGCATTGCCTGCTCTTCCAAAGGTCCTGAGTTCAATTCCCAGCAACCACATGGTGGCTCACAACCATCTGTAAAGAGGTCTGACGCCCTCTTCTGGTTTTCAGGCATACAGACAGAATATTGTATACATAATAAATTAATTTTTAAAAAAAAGAAAGTGTATATTAATTTGGGAGGGTTGCAACAAAGAAACAGGTGGTAGGTGGAGGGTACAGTGTTTCAGCAAGAGACTATGTCACAATTTTAGAAGCCAGAAATCTGAGGTGAAGGTGCCAACAGGTACATGCCTCTGAAGGTCAAGGGAATTCTCTGTTCCACCCTTGCTGCTAGCTTTTGACGGTCCCTCAAGTTTGGTGGCCTAACTCCTGTCTTCACACAGAATTCCTGGGCCCAAACCGCCCTTCTAATATGGACATCAATAACGGTTTATTAAAGGTCCACCCTACAGCAATAGGAACTCCTCTTAACATATGCAAATGGACCTATTTTCAAATACACAATAAGAGGTACTGGAAGCTAGAGACTCAACATAGAAAGCTTAGAGTGAACTTAATTCAATTCATACCAATATGGAATCGCCAATTATTTTCTGCATATTACGCAGTCTATTTTGTTTTGACTATATTTCTCTTTAATTCAATATTATGGGTCTTTTCATCTGACTATTAATAGTGTATATATTTCCATATACAAGAATGATGACCTT